CGAATTTTCAAGGAGACGTCTAACCACCACCATGCGGCCGGTTATAGCCACTTGCTGTGGTACTTCAAGCCCAAAGGATCTACAAAGAGAATATGATCATGCGGAGAAAAGTATATAACAACAAGTAGGAAAATAATGGGCAAAATCCGCAAAAAGGAGGAAAGTAGATTCGAGCAGAAAATAGGATAGGTAACCCGAGCGATACGTATTTCTGCTGGTTGGCTTCATCAGGCCCGAAATGAATGCACATATGAAACTACAAAAGTAGATACACATGCCCACATATCCGGATACGGGTGTAACCTGAGGAAACGAAGTTGGAGGGGAAAAAAACGACACACGAAGTCCACAACAAGAGCCAACCTACACATTGTGGTATAAAATGGCTATACGACCCCGAATTTTCAAGGAGACGTCTAACCACCACCACGCGGCCGGTTATAGCCACTTGCTGTGGTACTTCAAGCCCAAAGGATCTACAAAGAGAATATGATCATGCGGAGGAAAGTATATAACAACAAGTAGGAAAATAATGGGCAAAATCCGCAAAAAGGAGGAAAGTGGATTCGAGCAGAAAATAGGATATCTAACCCGAGCGATACGTATTTCTGCTGGTTGGCTTCATCAGGCCCGAAATGAATGCACACATGTGGACTTCGTGTGTCGTTTTTTTCCCCTCCAACTTCGTTTCCTCAGGTTACACCGTATCCGGATGTGTGGGCATGTGTATCTACTTTTGTAGTTTCATATGTGCATTCATTTCGGGCCTGAAGAAGCCAACCAGCAGAAATACGTATCGCTCGGGTTACCTATCCTATTTTCTGCTCGAATCTACTTTCCTCCTTTTTGCGGATTTTGCCCATTATTTTCCTACTAGTTGTTATATACTTTTCTCCGCATGATCATATTCTCTTTGTAGATCCTTTGGGCTTGAAGTACCACAGCAAGTGGCTATAACCGGCCGCATGGTGGTGGTTAGACGTCTCCTTGAAAATTCGAGGTCGTATAGCCATTTTATACTACAATGTGTAGGTTGGCTCTTGTTGTGGACTTCGTGTGTCGTTTTTTTCCCCTCCAACTTCGTTTCCTCAGGTTACACCCGTATCCGGAAGTGTGGGCATGTGTATCTACTTTTGTAGTTTCATATGTGCATTCATTTCGGGCCTGATGAAGCCAACCTGCAGAAATACGTATCGCTCGGGTTACCTATCCTATTTTCTGCTCGAATCCACTTTCCTCCTTTTTGCGGATTTTGCCCATTATTTTCCTACTAGTTGTTATATACTTTTCTCCGCATGATCATATTCTCTTTGTAGATCCTTTGGGCTTGAAGTACCACAGCAAGTGGCTATAACCGGCCGCATGGTGGTGGTTAGACGTCTCCTTGAAAATTCAAGGTCGTATAGCCATTTTATACTACAATGTGTAGGTTGGCTCTTGTTGTGGACTTCGTGTGTCGTTTTTTTCCCCTCCAACTTCGTTTCCTCAGGTTACACCCGTATCCGGATGTGTGGGCATGTGTATCTACTTTTGTAGTTTCATATGTGCATTCATTTCGGGCCTGATGAAGCCAACCTGCAGAAATACGTATCGCTCGGGTTACCTATCCTATTTTCTGCTCGAATCCACTTTCCTCCTTTTTGCGGATTTTGCCCATTATTTTCCTACTTGTTATATATATATATATATATATATAAGTGTAGGCTAGTGCTAGTACTTGCTACAAGTGAGCATGAAGTGAACGACAGCTAGTTCCAAGTTGACGTCTTGTTGGTAAACCTACATAATGTCCTAAAAACCGACATAATGTCACTTTTCAAGTTACGTAATACCCCTGCTGATCGTATTCTCAAAAAGTACTTGTTCATCGCGTTCTTGTGTTCTTTGAAGCGGTTCAGTTGGGCCAATAGTGTTGAGTTCTAGGAGAGCAAGAATTGACAAAAGAATTGTGATAAGCAAGTTAATGTACGACAGATCATTGTTCGAGAGATATGTTTGTGCATAAAGTATTTTTTGTGAATAAAATAGCATGTATATTGATAGATTGATCTGGATAGATTTTATTTGTTAAATTCGTCCGATTTTCTATTGTTCGAGTTTTTAAGAACTAAAGTAGTATTTATGTTTCGCACTCTTACTAATAAGTACATACTTAGTGACTTTTTCCAGAACCTTACAACAAGCTTCCCTGTTGTTTAGCAGTTGCTTCTAGTGGAAATAAAAATTTGTTCGATTTTCTTTCGGTTAAGGTTTCTAAGAATATTTCACACTCCTATGGGTAATCATATACTAAGTGATTTTTTCCAGAACTTTAGAACAATGTTGCCAGCAGCTTAGCAGTTGTTTGCGGTGAGAACGCAAAAACAACGCAACTGAAGTCGAAATCAGGTGGCAGTGAGTTGCCGTCAGGCTGCTTTGGTTGTGAATGTTGCCTTAGTGAGCCCTCTGATGGGACTTTTGTACTGCTTGATTAGTAGCATCGAGAAGGATTTTCTCTTGGTAGTTCGTTCCACATTCTCGATATTCTAAGAAACCTTATAAATAACACCTTTGCATTTAACCTTGCCACCGTCTCGTGAATGTGGAGTACCGTGCCCTTAAAGTCTTCTAAGTGGGAAGAGATGGTTTCCTTAGAAACCGACAGGAAATAATGTTGTGTTGATTGAGTTTATAGAGATCTAGAAGGTCGCAACAGGGATGGACTTGATAACTTGATACCCCTTGATACCCCTCACCTTGTTCTCAAAACAAGGTCATAAAGAGGCCTCATTATGACATAAATCAGGTAATAAAGGGGATATGACAGAAACGTCTAATGATACAGATAGCGCTGCCCATTCACGATTTTAATCTTTGGATAACTAAACTTATTGTTCACAGCGACAATCTTGTTTCTGCGATATTTGTAAAACATCGTTATTGACTCAATTAATTTCACAAGCTCATGACGGGTTTCATTCCAGTATACAGATATGTCAAAACGGCTGAATAGGTTTACTCACATGACACTTCCGGAAATACGGACAATGGAGAAGGCTCAAAGCTCATGCTAAATTTATTAGAGTATTTCCAGGAAGAGAGTGAAAACAGCGGTAACTGTTTCCTACCCACTTCATGCCTACTGAAGAGAGTAGCAGATGCGCCCATGGTACGGAGAGTCGATCTGTTTACTTATTTCATATGGCGTTGGTGACGTAACGGAGACTACAACTATAGCAGGAAACTACATCTCTCGTCTCTCAGGGAAGTGATAAAGTTTCATAAACTTAACAAAAGCTTGCTTTTAGTCTCAGTGACCATTCAATTCAACGTTGTTTTATGCTTTTTAACAATCATCAGTATAGTACAGGTCTAGTCATCGGGGACAGATAACGGAAAGCAGCCAAGCGAAAATAGGACTACTGGAAAATTCAGCATTGTGGTGTGTGAAGAGATGACACTACCACCTATAGGTGGTAGTTCAATTTATCTTCCAGTAAAACCCTCCTTAATCCAAACTTACCAGTTGTGATAACCGTTCTCCATTCTAAAGTCAAGAAAAAACACACTACTGCTTTAACTAACAAGAAGCTTCGATGGATGGCCGAGCTCTACCTAAAAGCTTTTTGCTCTGGTTTAACATCTGCATCGATATGCCAGTGGATTTGTTTATCCCAGCTTCCATCCATGATGCTGCCTGACTGTTACTTCTTGTGCCAATTGGTGAAGAATTATAGTAGTCGCGAAGAATTTCGAAATTAAGAAATTGTGTTTTGAACCTCCCTGACCTGTGTGTCATCATAAAAAATTGCGTTTCTACGCAACGCTGTCATCAGTTCATTAAGGATTCGGCAAAGCTATCCTCTCTGAGGGAAAAGCTAGCTACAGACATGTGTAACAAAAAAATAAATGGATGAAGTTAGCGAAACAGACCCAAACAGTAAGTCCATAGACCTCACCCCACTGATAACGCTGCGATCTAGAAAATTCTTCCCTACCGACAGTATTGACAATCTGCCAACATTGCTGAACCATACTAGTCAGCCGTGCTACAAGCCAGCGCCATCGGTGAGCAGTGAGTGAACAAGCGCAGTCAGAATTCGGTGCACGTAGGTGTATGTTCGTAACGTTAGTGTAGGATCGATACGCAACGCGTCTTCTGAAAGAATATAGTTTTAAGGGTAAACGTACGGGAAAATCTATGATGCCTGAGATATGTACTTAATATTTTCGTTGAATTGCCAAGTTTGTAAGCGTATAAATATACAACCGTCAAAAAATTGAGATATACCCTCTCCCACTCGCTATAGTCCCCAGTCCCAAATTTTTTTTTTTGAAAATGGTCACGAGCGTCTCAAAGCATTAAAAAACTAAGTTTGAGCAATATTTATCTTTTTCGTTTTTTGGAAACTCCGTCGCAATTTTACAAAACTAGTTTTTTTGTACATAGTTATAGCGTTGTGTCAACATTTAAATCCGAGCCTTCCAAGTTATAGAGGGATACTTAGTGGAGGAGGGGCGATGCACGTCTTATAATTCGGGTCTAGCAATGTAATTTTGTTTACAATAAAGTACAGCAACATATACCGTTTTCTTAACAAGAAAATAGCAGACTAGGGCATTTAGAGGTTTGAGCGCGCGCCCCTTTCGTCCCCTCTAAGTCTGCCATTGCTGTGGAGCATAGTGGGAATGATTAAGGGAGTTGAAAAATTCTAGATCAGGCATTTATCATATTTTTCTTTTTAGAATTAATGATGGTTACATTTTTCGCTTACCTAAAACGTGAACTACTGAGACAATATATGAGAATCTATTTCTTCCAACCAAGAGATCTGCTGTGCACCGACAAGCCGCCATTGTGCATTTTAACGAAGTTCCTACTCCCTACATGAGTTTGCATCTATAAAAGTGCACCCTGTCACTGCTCCGACCCTGCCCGGAGAATTGATTGGCCAGATTTCCTATTACGACATGATTGATTATAAACTGATAATAGCCCAGTCGACGCATGCGCATTCCCCCTCGCGGCCGCGCTCTTGGTCGTCTAGATTGTCGCGACGCGCTGTTCCGACATGCACGATAGTGTTTTGTTTTTATCACTCCCGCCGGCGCGAACGTCGAAAGCGCGGTACTAGTCGTACTTCGAACAGCGGAATTTTCCCCGATAGAAAAATGAAAATGGTTTACGTATTGTGAACGATGCGCGAAGTGGGTCGCTGTCCTACAGCTGGTGGATCTTTATATTGTTGTGTTGGTGTTTGTGTGGTACTTCATCATAGGCAATATGCGACGGATGATGCTGAAAGGGTTCCTTTGCTGGAAGCGTAAATTGAAGATAGTATCATGTCGAGCATAAAAAGAAGTTCCACCAGGCGATCTGAGTAAGTACTGCCGAATGTACTACTTGAAAGTACCAACGTTACGTTACGAATGAACGCTCTTTTCGCGCCAGGCTTGCGCTGAAAAATTCTAGTATCATATTATGAATCTAAAAGCACAAATACGTAATACAACCCAAGCTTTGTTGAATTATCAAAGCTCTGCTACACATAACTGATCAACACGATGCTGCTGTGAAGATGATGCGGTGCAAGTTCAGGGCTAGAAAGTACTTTTCATCATGTACTTTTCTTTCTTCTGCTACGCCGTAGCACCTGATTACGTCGAATTTCTATGGTACTAAAGTTTTGCGGAATCATCTAAGATCTGTTACAGACTTTTAGTGAACTAAATGTTTGCTGTCCAGAGGCCACGGTACTACCCTTTAGGATCTGTATTACTTTGATAGTCAATTATAACAAAGCCCAGTAAAGAGCTTTGTTGAGTTTTCCAAGGCTCCGTTACACACAAGCTGTGAACCAGATGTTGCTGTGAAGAGGTACCAGTTCAGGGCTAGAAAGTACTTTTCTTCAAGCCTCATCATATTGAACAAAGACCAGATTGAATTATATTTATGAAGATAGTATCATGTTCCACCCAAAACTGAGTGCAACAAGATGATTTAAGTACTACCAAAAATACTACCCCGTACATCTGTGTTTGAACCACATTGTAGGTCAATCGACATAGAGCTCATTACAAGGATTTGTTGAATTTTCAAAGCACTGTTGCATACACTTCGTGAACTAGATGTTGATGTGAGGTTCTCCTCAGTATTCTTACTGTACCAGTTCAGAGCTAGACAGTACCCTGATTGTGGTCTAGCCTAAAAAGAATTTAAACGCCATATGCATGCAAAGTTTACACTTGCATCATTCACAATATTAGCTATACCTAGAAGTTTATCGGCAAAAAGCTCATCAAAAAGCTTTGTTGCATGTTCCAAGCTTTGCTAAACATATCTGGTACTTGGATATTACTGTTAAGAGGATATGTCAGTTCAGGGCTAGATAGTAGTTTTCACTTTCCACCCTCCTGACAAGGTCTGATGGCTGAAATAGAAATTTCAAACTTAAAAGTTTCAATCAAAATCCGTCATCTCGTTTTGTAAAAATTTTAGTATACCCAGTGTCACCCGAACTGTCAAGAGAAATCTAGAGACACCTCAAATGATAAAACCCACCAAGCTGTTTAACTTGCGGACCTTCAAATGGGAATTTGAAGGTTGGATTTCTTTATCAAAACCGCCATTTTGTTTCTAAAAAATGTTAATATAGCTACTGTCACTTGAATTATTAAGATGAATCCAACATCACATCATATGCCAAAATACATCAAGCCTAATTTCAAGGTTGTTCTTTTTAAACCACTACTTTTTTTATAAATTTTTAAAATAGTATCACTCGCACTGTTAGGAAGAGCCCAGCGATACCTCATATGTCAGAATCTATTGAGCCACTTAAGCTGCAGCCTATGAGATAGGAATTTCAAGGCTGTTTTTTCTTAAAACCCACTGTTTTGTTTTTATAAGCTTTTAATATAGACAGTGTCTCTTGCACTGCTAGGATGGATCCAGCAACACCTTATATGCCAGAATTTATTGAGCCGTTTAAGCTGTAGCCTTTGAGATAGACATTTCAAGGTTGTTTTTTTATTAAAATCCGCCATTTTGTTTTTATCAATTTTTGATATAGCCAGTGTCACCCGCACTGCTAAGACGAATCGAACGATACTTCATATGTCAGAATGTATCAAGCCCGTGAAATAGAATTTTTTGGATAAATACATATCCACGCGATAAAAACATATCCCCTCTTTTGTGGCAGTCATATAAAAATTACAACAGTGAACACTTCTACGTCGGACGCTTCAAATGTCAAAATCTATTGAGCAGTTTTTGCTAGAGCTTATGAAATATAAAGTTGAGGTTTACGTTAAAAATCCGTTATTTTGATCTAAAATTTCAATATACGTATTACTCGCATTTCAAGACAAATCCAGAAATACCGCGTAAGTCAAAATCCTACAAGCCGTGTCAACAACTAAACCTTTGGCGAGAAGAGGGACTAGAAGCTAGTATACCTATAGAAAGATTCGATGAGCTTGCCAGAAAAATATCGTCTATTCCATCTATCATCAGACCTTGTTCTTGACAACAGCACAAGTATTGAAACAAAGTGGGTGGAGACAGACACGGAAAACCATGCTCAAAATGTAACTGCGGAGCTTATTGAACATCCATTACATTTTTGTACCTCGACTGCACTCATCGGGATGGCTAGACTACAACGAATACAGTTAAATATCTTATACCAATGAGTACTAAGTCTTCTCGGAAATATCGCAACAGGGTACTAAAATGAGACGATTAATGAGAAAATGTGGTTTTGCTAAATGTATCTCAATTGCTACCATTAAGTTATAATTTATATTATTGCATGGGGTTCTATAATCGATACTGCAACATTTACTTACCTATAGTAAATGTGCATAAAATCACAAAACAGATGTACTGGAAGTCTCTTTGCTAATGATCTAGGAATCCAGGATTCTAGGTACCTTTTGGGAACATTTTCCCCGCTTCGACCCTGGCTGATTTATCAACATCCGCTGGTTTGAACGCAACAGAGTTTACCGATTAACATATTCCGTATCACCACTCATTAGACTATTATTATACCGGGGGTTTTAAATTCGAGTCCTACCACTGGGATCCCCGGAATGGTAAGAGATACAAATTCGATTAAATGGGAATAAAATTGCGCATTTAGGCAACACATAGAAAGCTTCGCAGTTCCCGGAAATTCCGGAGAACTTAATCCCAAAATTGTTTTTAATTTTTTCCTCCACAAGATGGTGTAATTAGAATTCTAATGTGACGTTTCGTCTCTTGTTGATAGTCATCAATCCCATTTTTTCATAGACGCCATATTGGATCATTATACAGGTAATTACAGTTTTTAATTCTGATTCCATAAATGTATAATATGTCATGCATTGAAATTGCCAAGTCTGAGTTATTTAGAGAAAAATTAATATTTTTCTTTGCATCGGTTTAGGTATGGCATATATGAAATGTGTTTGCGACGCTGATCATCAAAGCTATTATTTACATTACAGTGTTTCTATCAGCTACATAAAATAACACTATTTCCGATGTTATTAATACTACCTTAAGATAGTAAGAAAACGTTTTTGCGTTATGCTGTTTTTTCATTCCATGAATTAAGACCAACTCTAAGAAGATTACTTATTCAGACATATGGAGTGGCTGAAAATTTTGAGATACTCTTAGGAAAGTCTGTTAAAATAACTAAGGCTTGGCTGCTAGTGTATGACATATCATACATTTTTGGAATCAACATTTATAAGTCTAGTAACCTTTGCAAAAATCCAATATGATGTCTATAAGCAAACATGTTGACGACCGAGGACAAGAGACGAAACTTTCTTGAAATTCTAATTCTGCAATGTTGTAGAGGAGAAAATGTTCAAAAAATAACGACTTTTACAGGTTCGGTGTATTTCGTCTATCTCCGGGAATACTCGGAATTGCGGAACTAAGTGCCATTTTGTTTGTCAGCTTAGTGCGTCCCTTTACCCCAATTTAACCGACCTTTGAGATCTCAGTGGTGATTGTCGATTTAGGATCAACCGATATGTAAGAATTAGAATGAACAGCAGAAAATTCCAATACAAAATAACCAGAATCGGTGACTACCTTTCCATCATCTTTGAATGCTCCTTAAAGTTAAGATAAAATTGTCCTTGCCTCTTACTAGGATAAAATAGTTGACCCAAGATCATAATCTCATCCAACAACTTCAATTATCGCATATTTTACAATTTTGGTCGGATTCTGTTCGCACGCGTCCAACATGTTTGCTTGTTCAGCAGTGTCAGATATGACATTGCCACTAAAATGAATCGACTCAGTAAACGTAGACGCTGCAGGGGTCATTCGACTCTACCACGAGTGATATGACTGTCTGACTCTTGATTACAACAAAGGATGCCACATCGATGTACTTTTGGCGCTACGGTGTCAAGTTACTAACAAAGATATGGATCGTGCTTTGAAATTAGATCATTCGTACAATTAATATTTTTTTTTAATTTGAATAAATCTCAAAATGTAAAATAGTTCTTGTAAATCAACAGTTCTACTTAAGGTACCGTAAGACCTTAAAATACGAAAACCTCGAAATTCATATTTTTGAGATTTTTGGTGGAATAATAATAATAGCATTTAATGACCAACAGTTGTCCATTATATGAACAAAATGAACTAATAGCCTACGACAGAGTTTGGAAAGAAAGTAAGTAATCAATTTAAGTACTCATAAGCCATCCTTATTACCACACTAAGAGACGAGCTAAGATGGGCTTAAAATACTGTTCATTAAGAAGTTTACCTATTAATTGCGTGCGGTTTTTGATTTACAATCGTCTTATACTTCCCACATCTGATGGCAGAGGAAGTGTAGTCGCGAAAATTTTTGAAAATGACATATTATATTTTTTGGATATTACGAGAGTAAATCAAATAAAGGGTAATCCATCTGTTGGCTAATTTTTGAACTAGGGTTTATCTCACGATTAGCAACACTTACATCAGATCGGTTTTATCAGGAATTTAGTAAAGAGTCTGTGGTGAACGAATATGGATCGATTTACGCTTGAACAATGTTGGGAAGCGCTCAAAATTGGACGCTTAGACGATTTACGATTTTTACCGGAAAATAGTTTTTTCGGATGAGGCCCATTCTCATCTTGGTGGCTATGTTAATAAGCAAAATTGCCATATTTGGTGCTCAAAATAGCCAAATGAAATTACCTAGAAGCCAATGCCTCCGCAACGCAACGGTGTGGTTTGTGGTCGGGTGGCATGATTCCGGCTTTCGGAGTCCCACACCGCTCTCGTTGAATAAATTTGCGGTTAAAGCAATATTTAGAGGTGATCAGATCACACCTGCTCAGAAGGAAGGATCACCTACCTGTG